CTCCCGGCCCGGACTTCCGGTCGGTTGAGTCCAAGACAGACAGGCTCGACTGCTCGCCCTGTAAGTCAGTCTGACTTGCGCCCTTGCTCCCCCCGGCGGCGTGCGCCTGGGTGGCCAGGACGGGCTGACGAGCCCCCCGCGACCTCGGCTGTGACCCCACGCCCCCCCGGGGGAAGCACCCCGTTGGAGCTCGAGCCCCGCGCTAGATGTGATATAGGGTTGGAAGCCCTGGAAGTTACTCCGGAAAATTTCCGAAATAAAACCAAAAATTTCCCGGACCTTGAAAGTGTTCCGTTTAATCCCGGAAATTTTCGAGAATTTTTCGGAAATGTTACGATTTTTTTTTGTGGAAATTTTTCAACCCTAACTCTTTGAGGCGAAGGAGGGCGTCGTCGACCTCTACCTATACCAACCACAAGACCGCCGATGTCGTGTCGCGCCTCGTCTCGTCGTGTCCACGGTGGAAGAGAGTGCAGCAGAGGCTGAGGGGGGCGTGGCGTGGCGTGGCGGGAAAAATATATCACGTCACGTCGAGCGGGCCGGCGCGAGATTGGGTCTTACCCGAGAGTCACACTTTTCAATCAGAGCTCGTCTCGTTGGCGCACCCTCCCGGTCCGTCCTGCGCTCTCCGCCAGACGGCCTCCCTCCCCTACTTCTCTTGCACAGCTAATAACGTACTGCTCACTGCAGGGTAAGAATTCTCACTCTATGGCGCCGCCGCCCCCTCCACCGCCGTGGGCTTGCCCCGCCGTTTGAAACTTCCCGCCCGGCTGCTAAACCGTAAAAGGGCTAAACGCAGCAGTGAGCAGCGCTCCGCTGCGCGGCAGGCACTGCGCTGCACTTCCTGCCAGCTGCGCTACAATGTAGCTGCTCGGTAGGCACTGCGGGGCGGAGCAGGCAGAGTGGAGTGTGCTGGTCGCAGATTAGACCGCCTCCCTTCGGCGCCCTGCTGCCCTGCTGCCCCCCGCTGCTGCAGGTCTGACCCCGACGGGCTTCCCCGGCCGCTCACCAATAAAGCATTCCGGTAAAACTAAAATGCAGAAGAATGCGAGGAAGAAGAAAACGGAAGTCACTATGCTTTTCCATTGGACTTCCGTTTTCTTGTTTCCTGCATTCTTCTTCATTTTAGCTTTACCGGAATGCTTTATTGTGCTGGCCCGTGGCATGGGCTGTATGGGTTTCTCGTTTCTCAAACTGTACCGCTGCACTGGCGCCGCGCCGGTGGCCTGGTAGAGGCTGATGGCGAGCGGGTCAAACCCGGTCGGTCAACCAGTCAAACAGCGGTCACAAAATCGTACACCGTACTGCTTCCCTGCGGTCCGCGCGGCCAGAACCATGCACTGGTTGGTTGCCAGTAGCTAGCTGCGAGTGTTTGGCGGTTCCATGCCCTGCGCACACGGAAGTCGTCGAACGCAACCAATCACTTCTTTCTAGCCTGCCGACCAGCAGGCCAGGCCGTTCTGAAAGGCGCGCGCCGGCCGGCGGCGGCCAGGGCCAGAGGCTCGCACTCAGCGCCAAGTTGCATGGAGTGCGAGCATGGTGCGAGTGAGGGCGGCGGCGGACCCGACAGCCCCGACAGCCCCGCCAGCCTAGTCTCCGTGATTGGGTCGTAAAAAAAATAGCGCTGGCTCGCGGCCGGGGCGTGGCGCACTCAGTTCTGTGTATTTTGCAGAGTGTGGTCACGGTCTGTGTCTGTCTCTCTCCTTCTCCCTCTCCCTCCCTCTCTCTGCCTTGCCCTGTGCTGTCTCTCTTCTCTCTCTCTCACTTTAACAGCAGTGGAATGAATATGGAGTTAGTAAAAAGTTAATGGTCTTCACCGCATCATTCGCGCTTGCGCTCCTCGTGTACCGCAGAGTGAGTACCTCCCCGGCGAATGAGTCGAAAAGAATGAATGAATCGAATGAATCGAAATGAATGAATGAATGGGAAGAGTCGGGGATGGAATGCAAGCAAGCGGCCGCAGAGCCATTGTCTCCTGCCCCGTCCTCCGGACGGCTCGCGACTGGCGGGTCAGTGGACGAGGAGGACGAGGACGAGCAGGAGGAGGAGGATGCAGACGGTGAGGAGGAACAGGAGGAGGAGGAGGAGGATGCAGACGGTGAGGAAGAACAGGAGCAGGAGGAGGACGGAGAGGAGCGGGATAGGAGGATTTTGACGGGGACGAAGGAGCAGGAGGAGGACGATGGTGACAGGGACGAAGAGGAGCAGGAGGAGGACGTTGTTGACGGGGACGAAGTGGAGCAGAAGGAGGACGATGTTGACGGGACGAAGAGGAGCAGTAGGAGGACGATGTAGACGAGGAGGAAGAGGAGCAGGAGGAGGAGGATGTAGACGAGGAGGAAGCAGCTCTGGTCGCGGACGAAGGGCCGCCGCCGGCGCTTCCCCTATAAATAGCGGAGACCGAGCGAGCGCAGACGGGCGGGGCTGGCGGGGGGTGTGCTGCGGCTGCCCCCCGCTGTGCCCGCGCCCGGCGCCCGAGTGACCAACTGGCCCTTGCACTTACTCACGCACACACACACACTCACAGAACACTCTCACAGACTGGTGCAGCCTGGGGCCGAGCCGAGCGCGGGGGAGAGGGATGCTCTCGCTGCCCCGGCCTGCAGCTCCCCTGCAGCAGCAGCAACGGCGCCCCGCGGCCATCGTGGAGGCCGTGGCCTCGTGCCTCGTGCAGACGCGCTGCAGTTCCGCGAGCCCCGCCGCGGTCAGGGCGGCCTTGAGGACGGCGCCGGCGCCGCGGGACTGGGACTGGCCACCACCGGCACTGCGGCGGGGGACTTTATGGCCGGCATCGTCTGTCTGTGTGTGTGTGTGTCTGTGTGTCGTATTTTTGTCTGACTGAGCGGGGCACCGTAATAACCCGGTGCTTGTAGTCGGTGCGGGGTTTCCTTGTGTTTGATGGGTTTTTGCACGAGAATGATGTGTTGTTTTTGCGTTTGTGCAGGGGGGGCTGCTGTTAAGACTGTGAACTGTTGGATGATTGAAACATTGAAAACAATCAAGCAGAACAAGAGTTTTACTTTGTTGTTGGAAACTGGGGCGTGTGTGTGTGTGTGTGTGTGTGTGTGCTCACACCCGGGGTGCATGGGGGCCTGCCTAGAGTAAGGGGTGGGTGCCGCGCTGTGCTGCCGTCGTTGTGGCTCGGCTCTGTGTTGTGGAGAGGTAGGGTGTGGCGGGGCGCACAGATCGCTCGACCGGAAAATGAGTCCGCGCCGAAAGCAGCCCCCTCCCCCATCTCCTCCTCCTCCACCTCCACGCGCCGCCCCCCGGCCGCGCCGCCTCGGCATACCTCATTGAACATGGAAATGCACCGCGCCCCGCCCCGCCCCGCCGCGTATGAGTGTCGCCGCAAACAAAAGCTTGCCCGCGATTCATATTCGTGTGAGGCTGTGTGGTTCTGCCCGCCGGTGCCCCCCCTCCCCGCTATCCGCCCGCTCCGCCCGGCCGCCCCCGCGCGCCCGCTCAGCCCCATCGAGTGCTTTTGACGAGGAGGAAACAGTTTCCGGGTATTTGAGCACCTTTTGTGGGCTGATTGTGCGGACGGGGGAACGGGGAGCCAGGCTCCGCGGTGTGTCAGCAGATGAGGTTGGAGCACCCTACCACCACCCCCCGAACACGAACGAGTCACTGACCCGACTATGGCGATAAGGTCAGCCTGCCTGCCTACCTACCCGCCATATTCGTAAAAGTCGCAAAAGTGTGTCATGTTGACATCATTCTGATGTACGTTCACCCCCCGGGACACACCCACCGCCACCCCCAGCAGGTGCGGTCGGTAGCCGCGGCCGCCGCGGCTCACTGTGTCTCCCCCTCCCCCCCCCCCCCCCCCCCCCCCCCAATCCCCTCTTCATCAATGAATTAAGCGACCAACACAATCATTACCCCTTTTCTTATAATTACTGAGCAGCCGCCCTGTTATCGGACCGCCCCCCCCCCCTTTCCCTCGTCCTCTGATGATGATGATGCTCTTTATTCACACCTGCCCCCACCTCTTCCCTCCTCCCCCTCCCCTTCCTGCGATGCGGCTGCATTCAACAGTTATTTCGGCTCATATATCAATCGTGCCCCCCGTCCCAATCTCTGATCGGAGAGCTTCACCGCCGCCGCGGTAGCGTGCGGTGGCGGGGGCCACAAGTCGTTATGGAGTAATGAAACGACGAATTTCTCATATCGTAAACGATGATGCTCGGTGTAATTGTAATTATCGGTGTGAAAGCATCGAGTGGAGCGGGGAGGGGAGGGGGTAAGGTGTTTGTAATTACTCTCGTGGGTATTATTGGGGGGAGGGTCCCGACGCGGTAGCTAGTGGGCCGAGAGGGGTGGGGGTGGGGGGGGGGCTTCCTAGAGAGAGAAATGGGAACTCCGCTTTGAGGGACATCTTGGGGGCTTTTCTCGTGTCCCCCTTCCCCAAAAGATACCATCGTCCAGCCCGGTTTGTCGGCGGCGTTTTGTCACGTGGAGCCCCCTCGGCGGAGACCCCGCACGACCCCCCGCTCCCACCGCGCGCGCAGCTCGTTTGAAGTCCAGACGACGCCGCCACGCGTTGTCGTCGAAGTCACGTTGTAGAGAGACCGTGGTCGAAGTGGAGGAGGTGCTGGCCGTGGTCGCGTTGGTCGTTCTGGTCCTGGTCGTGCTACCCGCGGTCGCGCCGCTGGTCGTTCTGGTCCTGGCCGTGGTCGCGCTGGTCGACTGGTCGCCCTCCCGACCCAACGCGGGCGCGGCCGGCAGCAGTTCCAGTCCCTGCTGCTCCTCCCTCGGGGGCATACCCCTGGGGTAATTATTTTCATTTTTAAAAAAG